CAGCTGCCTTCTCCATCACAGCTCATTAGCCATCCTTTGTGTAGGGTCAGTTATTCTGTCACGGTCTTGCTGTGCCAGAGAACAGGCAAGACGACGAGGATGCAGGATACAAGAGCACTTTAATAAATTCACAATAGGAGCACCCGCACAGGGTAACATTCACAATAACTGACAAACTGGAACACAATGGACAGGAACTGATATAGGGTGGATAACGAGGGGCAGACAGGTGAGCACAATGAGGTGATTAACTAATAATGAGAACAGGAACAACCAAATAAGGACACAGAGGGAGAAACCACAATCTACAGTCCACAGGGGTGTGACACCATGTTGATATTCAGACTAACGGCACGATTGCGAGCTTTAATTCATGTAATTGAAGTAATGTAATTCATGGTGAGCAATGTAAATTTTAATCACAATATTACCAGTAAAAGTTGCGCATCTCAGAGAAACATGCAGCTTTGGCGTTTCTGAGTGAAAATGTGTTCTGAATCGATTTAATTCATTATTCAGTCAGTCACTTGTCGCCACCTACTGGCGTATCTATGCATCCTGCAGAAAGAATCAGTGAGAAATCCCACCACTGACACAGACAAGTGCAAGGTCAAATCAAAATGCCATACTTCTATTACCATATAAACAAAAAAGTAGTATGGTAGTGTCCAGCATCTGCCACCAGTAGGATTCATCCATATTTATAGATCTTTGAGATTCTTGTACAACTAACTGAAAATGTATGTTTTTCTGGTTCTTATTAAAAGTTGTTGACAGAGATTAAGAATTAAGAAATATATACTGTATACACATCCAGCTACAGCACATGTAAAGCCTCTTAAGAACCCAAACATACACTTGCCTCTGGGATGACAACCACCACCTGGTTTCCTCTCCTCCCTAGCTCCTCTACAAAAGGTTTCATCCCTAACCAGTGACTGCCATCTGATAGTAGAACCAACAGTTTCCCAGCTTGAGCTAAATCAAAGACATACAGACTTAGGAGCACCCACACACCAGCCAATCTATCAGTGGTATAAAGTACAGCAGCAGAAGATTAAGCAAGCAGAACACAGTTCTATTGTCCATTTTAAAGTACCATCTTAAAATGAGTCAGGAGTCAGAACTGGTTTCAAAGGGGTGGTTAAGTCTGCAGCTAGTAGGATATGCTCAGCTAAATATGGTATTGAAGCAATTAATGGGTCTCATTCCCTAATAGTTATTTAATTATTTGTATTTATACTCACAAAAGGACTTCCCATGAAATTTCTGCCGAATTTACAACACGTGTGTTCACATGAATTTGTTCTTAACCTCCTTCTAATGTTAAAGGAGCATTCTAAACAAGCAACTGCATGCCAGAAGTAAGTAATTCGCATAAAACATGCCCAAACATCATCATATAAGGGCTTTCTGACCTTTAGTCACTCTCGACAAACGTGACACTGTGGCACTCACAGCCAAGCTGCGCCTTTCTCAAAACAAGAAGCATCTTTTCTACTGTTGTAGGTGCTTGTAGTTTGGACCTCTTATTAACCAGCTGTACATTTGTAATATACGTATTTTCATGCAGGGAAAACTAGGAGCCTGAGCTATTATTCACCTTTTCTTACTTTATTCCATATATAAGGAAATATTATATATAGCTATTTAATCTTAATTTAAATATGTTCTATCTTAACCCGTTAATAAGCCCACAGAGAGTGTGTGATGTTTGTTTTGTATGTAGTTACATATTAAAACAGCCTACATTTAAATCAGTAAAACAAATCTATTTGTCTCATATATTTTCACCAATATAAATGCAAACGTACAGGATGTCCCTGTTTGTTGCTGCCGTGTGGTTTGAGTTTGAGCTCCGTCAAGTTTTACACAAGCTTCAGTCTGGATCCAGAACACGATGCAACCCCTCAGAGGACCTCAGATGATGCCAACCCTGAAACAACATACAGAACTACCACATTTTGCTATAAGTTTGATTGCATCATATAATAATTGCTGTTAATATTATTCATCGTCTGTTTTATTACGTCTTATATTGATTTTTCTGTACTGCTGGTTCGTCTGGTCAGAGGAGAACTGGCCCCCCGACTGAGCCTGGTTTCTCCCAAGGTTTTTTTTCTCCATTCTGTCACTGATGGAGTTTTGGTTCCTTGCCGCTGTCGCCTCTGGCTTGCTTAGTTGGGGACACTTCATTTCCAGCGTTATCGTTGACATAATTGCAAAGATATTATTTAAACTGAACTGAGCTGGATGTTGACATCACTGAATTCAATGATGAACTGTCTTTAACTGAAAAATGAGAGTTTACTATTGTCATTTTGCATTATTGACACTATTTTCCTAATTAATGCTGTTCAGTTGCTTTGTCACAATCTGTATTGTTAAAAGCGCTATATAAATAAAGGTGACTTGACTTGACTTGACTTAAATATGATGCTCAGTTGTTTCCTTTATCTACTGTAGCTTTTTTAGAGAGGAAACAATAAATTTAAGATTTTAATACTTTTTAAATTTTAGAACAAATGCAAGAACTGTGATTATATTGCACTAACATATTTTCCTCAACACTGGGCTGTAAGGTTATAAAAAACGTTGTGTAATTTAATATGCCCCACTCCAGCTAGATCTTCTAATCAGCTATCATGGTAACATGTGCTCAAGTTAGGAAATAGTTAACTAACAGCATATTAAGGAGGAGGCGTCAACCTTCAACAAATCTGTACTTTGCCTCAGTGTCCAGAAATAGACAGACGTTTTAATATTATTGTAGATAGAGATGTTTCAAGAGAATGTGTATTTTTGCTCTGTCTGAAAAAACTCAAACAGTTTACCTCAGCCCATTACATGCCATTAATTCAAACAAAACAATGTAAATGGCATAGGTTTTGGTGCTGGTTTGAGGTTTGCTGGCTATTTTTTACAGTCCATGACAATGACAGACAAGGACTGAGAAACATCATATGAAAAAGAGAGCTACGGCACTCGGGCACTGGTAATTTGCATGCAAATTAGAGCTTACTTGTGACAATGGTTTTGGCTTCTTGGTTGACATTCCTCCAATCATCACCATGTTAGGCATCAATGGTCGTGGAAATTCAAAGGCAAAGTCAAAACGCATAAACCAGAGAGCTGCGCGGCTCATGATCTCCATAATTGATGTTTGTTTCTGAAGTACACGTGAGGCGATCTCATCTGCTTCAGTATGCATGTATTTACAAGCCATGGGCTGCAGCAGAGTCCTTACCAGGTTGACACACCTCTGCCACAAATTCATCTTGTCTGTAAAGTGGGTATTACGCTGTGGAACATAAGAGGGTGGACTTGGGCATTGGCTGGCAAGAGCGTCGACACCACAAGGAAGGTTTATTTGCATATAAATAGCTGGAATGGAGAGATATTCACTAACAATAACCCCAACAGGTTCAAACGGGTCGGTGAGAATCGCATCAAAGCTGTAGTCTTGAAGCTTCTTCATCAAGTCCTCTTTAAAGAACAGACCCTCTGCGTTCCTTATTATGAACCTTTGAAGAAGGTGCATTTGGTAAAAGAAAAGCAGGAACTTGGACAGGTCAGAAGAGAGGTCGGTACTCAGAATTTCAGTTAAATTGCCTTCCAATAGTTTATGTAGTTCAGCCTTGGTGTAGTTCACTGGATATGTCAGAGTGGTGGTATGCTCTGAAGGACCCATGCTCAGACTCGCCTCTGGGATGACAACCACCACCTGATTTCCTCTCCTCCCCAGCTCCTCCACAATAGGCTTCATCCCCAACCAGTGACTGCCATCTGATGGTATAACCAACAGTTTCCCAGCTTCAGCTGAACCCAAGAAGAGACCCAGAAGCAACCACAGTCCAGTCATTTTATCACTGGTATATATATATATATATATATATATATATATATATATATATATATATATATATATATATATATATATATTCTCTC